AAGCAGCACAGCTGATGTTTCTTTCCAGGATGACGTCACAGCCAAACAGGAACAGACGAGGCAAAGCTACTCTGAGGAAAAGCAGAGAGAGCAGAAGGTTAGAGATTGAACTAACAGATTCTGCAGAATAGGAGAACAGAGAGAGAATGAAGCAGAATGATGAAATGGGGGTCCCTATGTCCTCCAGAAGTCTAAGCCTATAGCAGCATAACTATAGAGATAGCTCAGGATAACCTGAGCCACTCTAACTATAAGCTTAATCAAAAAGGAAAGTTTTAAGCCTAGCCTTAAAAGTAGACAGGGTGTCTGCCTCACGGACTAAAATTGGTAGTTGGTTCCACAGGAGAGGAGCCTGATAACTAAAAGATCTGCCTCCCATCCTATTTTTAGAAATTCTAGGAACCACTAGTAAACCTGCAGATTGAGGGCGAAGTGCTCTGTTAAGCAAAATCCTACCTTCTGCTCTTTATTCTTGCTTAGTAACACTGCTATCAGCAAGTGGTCGCTTTTCTTATTTGATGCATTCTCTTACATGCCACAAAGTTAAAACCACATTGACATTAAAATAGCTGCTTTTTCCAGCTGCAAGTGTTTTTTTTAGCTGTAATAACAGCATAAATATGCTAAAAACAGGTGTTACATGTAGGACTTACATAGTTGTCGTATATTTCCAGGTCTGTGCTCTCTCCTACCACAGTCATTTCTTACCAATACACGCACCAATCGTCAAACACATGGCATTTAATCTGCAATATAGTTATCTTGCACAGAGTACCATTTGAAAACAAACAAACAAACCCAGAAGAAATAAAGTCTGCTTTTGGTCCGGACCAAACAAACAGACCAAATGACTGTTCTGGTGTGAATACACCCTAAGACTATCCTTTATCATGCACAGATCATAAAACTATAATTTATCATTACAGATCATAAGACTGTTCTGTAGTCTGGTTTATTTTAAGCCCCAGTATGAAATTCAGATGGTACAGACAGAATTTGGCTTAAACAACAATATGGCATTGGTCCTTTACCATACATCAACCGTGTAGGCTGGATGAACACTTTGCTTAAACCTGAAAAATGCCTGAAAAACAAAACATAAGGAAGAAACTGAGAAGAGCTATGCATTGTTCTACATTTATCTTAAGGTTCTGCTTTTTAAATGTGCAGTTTGAAGATGTTTTAATGATGATTCACTCCCCTGAAATCTACACATTTAAAAGCTGTATCCATGGTTTAACTTCTCTTTAACAGTTTTCTTTATTTCCTTCATCAGCTTGTTTAAAGTGTCACACAGACATTGACAACTTATCTTCTTTAGAACAATGGTTCATTGTTGCTCATAACAGCCTTTGCAAGATGTTGGCATTTATAAGGTTTCGCTATTTTTTGTGTGGATTTGAGGTCTCTTTGCATTAGAGATAGATCATCTTGCAGAAGAAGGGGCTTGCTTGGACAGAACTTAGTCCAGAACAGTTTTAATGATGTAGCCAGGAAGATCTTCCTTCTGGAGGCTGATGTGCTTGATGCCAAATTAAGGTCCTGGTCTAATGGGAACAGACATTTAAAGTTTTACAGCTAATCTGATCCTTCATTGGAAGGATGTGTTTTGTTTTTTCTGCTGCCATACGGGTTCTTTTGTGATTCACTCTGTCATATGCGTTTCTTTTGATTCATTGTACCACTGCAGAGAGGAAGGATGCTATACTGCTGCACACGGTCAAACCATCTGTTGTTTGGCCATGAATTGTTTGTTTCTCTTTTACCTCATTGTCACTTTGTCTGCATGAAACAATCTTTCTCAATAATAGACTGAAGAGCATTTGGGACTGCAGACTGTGTCCATTAGATTAGAGCAGATATAATACTGTATCTGCCATTGAATGCCTCAAATACACAGGGCAGCGGAGATAAAGCTGAAGGAGGAGGTCATTAGTCAGTGTGCTGCCCTTCAGGGAGAAGCAGAATAGTCATAAGACCCTGCAGCGACACAGCCATTCTGGATACAAATGGGGATGGGGTGAGGGAAGCTTTGCAGGTGACATCAGCTGCTTGTGACGCCAGCACTAAAACTGCTCCTCCTTTCTATACCAGAGGTTTATTTTCAGGTTTTGGAAATGAAATGTCAATAAATGTGAGCATTTGCATTTTAGCTAAGATATTTATTGGACCAAGCTGAAGATTTCTTTGTGTATGCACATTTAGTCATCTTATTTATGTTTGCAACCTCATCATCTAAAAAGGTTTACATAGAATGAGAAACACATTTTTCTATGACAGGTTGAAATTGAGGTTATGGACACCACAATTAAATTACTTGCTAGGGTGCATTGCAACACCTAAAAAAGAATAGGCCATTTAAAATCCTTACAGGCACAGGGAACTTACAGCCGATGCATTGCTTCATTTTAGATAGACTTATTTTTTTTGTTAATTTCTTATGCAGTTTTTTTTTTTCCTTTTTTGATCATCCTAAGTTTCCCTGCCTCCATAAAACCTAACATGGCAAAACTCGCTTCCACAACTTGACAGTCAGTGCTGATAATAAAAAATGTCACCATGGCAGCTGGTGTGTTAAATTAAATCCTGTATTAAAGCAGAACCCAACTCTACAATTAAGAGTTTGACCTAGTGAGAAAACCTTAATAGAAAAATGCTCATGATCAGCACTTATCTCTGTTTGGGACAGCAGAGAAAATCTACCCATATGTATATATATTTTTTTCCTACTTGCTTTGTTCTGTTTTATTTTCCTATATTTTAATCATGTAAAGCACTTTGCATTGTCTTGGTACTGAATTGTGCTATACAAATAAATTTGCCTTGCCTTGCCTACCTTAGACTCTGGCTTTCTGGTTTTGCATCAGAGAAAGAACATTGGACAACTCTAAGGAGATAATGTCACAACAGATAATTTGGATAAACTTAATTTAAACCAAAAATCTTCCAGCCAATAGTAAATCTTCTAGCAACATAATCTGTTTTATTCTCAGAGTTTTTTCACAAATTAAAAGTTTGCAGTGAAAATCACAGCAAAATGTTAGAACGCGTCACTTCATGCTCTGTATAATTAAAATGCTAAACATCCTTCATAGCTCTGCAGCCAAATATTTTTACGCCCTACTGCATTCTTGCATTAGCTACCAGACGCACATAAGCTTAAACCAGTCTAACTCACTTTTAAACATGGCACGACACCTGTTATGGTAGCTCTGCTTTGTACAATAAATGCCAAGCAGGATTATAGCAGATGTCATGGATTATGGATGGTTTAGGGATACGTGTGCGTGTGCAGATCTTTTATAGGCACCTCCACAGGAAGGCCATGAGCAATCACTTAAAGCTCTTTTGTGTGCATGCATTATGGCGTATATCAGCAGGTCTCCAAATGCAAACACTTCCTTGTTTTTCTGTCCCTGTCTTAAGGCTGAGCTGGCAGGCTTCCATGCTATTGAAGAAGGTGGGAGGGATGAACCGCAGCTGCTGTCTGACGTACATGCAGCACAAACGCTCTGTGTGTGCGGTCCCAGCCTCTTTGACAGCTCTAACCAGCTAATGGGTTACTTCAGAGTCCCTCCCTCTTCCCCTTTGACTTGTTGCTGCAGGGCTGGTTCACCAGGCTTACAGTCAGGCCTCAGCAGACGCTGAGAGCCCAATGACAATCGGTGTGGAAAACAGCAGCTGTCATCTGTCTGGAAGTTTGCCATTTAAGGTCATGTAGTGCATTTTGGTTTGAGCTGGCCGCTCAGAATACATACGCAGAAGTTCATGCAGTCGAGCTTACAAAGAAGTTTTAGCCTTATTTTAAGGTTTATTAAAACACAAATTCTAATGTTGGTGATGATCAGTACTTCATATCTCAAGAGGAAATGATGCATGTGAGACCACTGTTGGCAAGGCATATTTATTTATATAGCACATTTCAGTTACAAGACAGTTCAAAGTGCTGTAAATGAAAAAAAAAAAAATATATAAAAACACATAGGGAAAGTATCATGCAGTGAGTGCCATAGAGGTATTTCAATATCATGAATAACTTAGGAGAATAAAATGAATAATTGAAATGACACGAACAATAAAATAATTAATAAGGTCAATAATTCTAAAATAACAAAAAAGTAAGTTAGGTTTATTGCATGAAGGACTGCCACTCTGGGTCTCTGAGCAAGACCCTTAATCCCTGATTGCTCCTCAGGTGCTGCACAATGGCAGCCCACCGCACCCCAAGGGGATGGGTTAAATACAGAGGTAAATTTCTTCAATGTGAGATCAATAAAGTTCAATAATTATTATTAAAATAATTTATAGTTTGTTAAAACATTGGATGAAGCTTAAACTAAACAGCTTCATTTCAGTTTTAATTTCTTTCATAACTACTATAGGGTGCAGCCCAAAATAAACTTACAGGAACCTTTTGTAGGAGGGGGCCTTAGCAGAGTTGTGTGGGTCCCCACTGTATAGTGGTTTGCTAGTGGTGGGGGGGTTATTCGACCTTGATCTGACTCAGCTGCCAGGTGTGTGCTGCAAGCTTGGGGCAAATGCCTTCCTGTGCCCACATATGTCGCATTGTGGGATGTGGTAAAGAAAACTGTTTGCTTTATATTTAAAAGAAACAAACAAGTTACCAAACTCGTCATCTGATTTGGCCTGAAGTGAACTATACGTAAAAACATTACAGATGAAAAGATGATATTTAACTCAAACAACTTTACTGCTGAGCACTTTTTTTATTGTTGCATTGTGTTGTGTTCAAAGTTTTGGAAAATTTATATATTCATCAACTTTTATGGGACCAGATCATAGACATTATCCATCCATCCATCCATCCATCCATCCATCCATCCATCCATCCATCCATCCATCCATCCATCCATCCATCCATCCATCCATCCATCCATCCATCCATCCATCCATCCATTTTCTATTAAGCTTATCCCAAGCGGGTCGCGAGGGATGCTGGTGCCTATCTCCAACTATCTACAGGCGAGAGGCGGGGTCCACCCTGGACAGGTCGCTAGTCCATTGCAGGGCATCATAGACATTACTACAAAGTAATATCTATGGACTAAATGGGATCCCTGCCCAGAAGAAATATGGAGGAAGAAAGGAAAATGTAAGTTTTACTATAAATCCTTTAAACATTTGCATAGCACTGAAGGATTTGGTCCCATTTGAGTTGATGATCAGCTCTCCCTAGAGGTCTGGAGCATTGATGTTATCCAGAGCTAGTTTGCAGCTTTTCTTAAGGTGCGTTTTTTTTTTTTTTGCATCCCTTTACATTTCTTATTTGTGGGTTTGCTATTCTTATTTTATTTTTGCTTGCAATACTTATGCTTTTTTGTTGTGCATTTAAGCATTTGAAGTGCGCTTGCACCTCTCCGCAACCGTAGTTATAGTTTTGAGGTCAATGCAAGCATTTTTCCAAATTGGCGGAGACTTCATAGATTAGAAACACAAACAGCTGAGCTCACAGCATTTAGATTTTAAGTTTTCTGGTCTTGAGCAATATGCAACACTATGTCTGTTATTCATGGTTCAGTCACTCTGGACTGTAAAACTTCTAATTTGTCAGTATCTCAGTTTTCATGTGTTCATTCGTGTTTTTACAGCTCTGTGGGAATTAACCCACTACATATAAAATACATTTGTACACCATCAGCTCATTTGAACGGAGTATCATGTTCTATCCTTTGAACAAACAAATCTAATTACTGGACTCATTGACGTCTTTTCTCCCCACCCTGCGTCTCTAACAGCTTTGAAACAAAACTTGTGTTGTTACTCTTAGGTCAGTGTTTATGCCACTCTGTGATGCAGTCAAATATAATGGCAAACCACACTCTAGATGACTCATTTCACTCAAAAACCCAACAGCCAGTAGCACGCTACAATGTTAGTGTCTGGGCACGGCATGAATATTCAGAAGGAAATATGCACTGTGAGGCAGAAAATCAGATGTATCCATCTATTTCTTCTTGTCTGAAAGCCATGGCCCATGGGGGGGTTTAATGATGGATGTGTTCATTCAGACCAAAGAAGATTCAGTCACCTTCATAGAAAAAAAATAAAACAGCAAGACCATAACTATCCATTTCTTTTTTCTAACAACTGCATTTTTTCTGTGTATACGTAAGGCCATGGATTGCTTACAGGCTCGTCTGCATGTGTCAAACTTGTGTTCGCAGAAAGACCATCCATACGTTTCTGCTTCTCTCAAACTCAAGCAGGAGACAGAAATTGACGTGGGTGCACAGAAATTCACCGTCGGCGCTGCAGATTTGATTACTGTGCAGTGATGTCGATCGCAGGCTCAGCTTTGGTTGAGGAGATTGTAAACGCTCCCCTGAGGTTCTGACGCAGGCTGCAGACATCATTGCTTATACCTCTCTTTGACCAGGCAGCCTGCTCAACAGTCTCTCCCAGAGAGGAGAGGGAGGAGGATGGAGGTGAAAGAGAAGGAGAGAGAAAGAGAGAGAGAGTCTGATAGGTTATTGATTTGAAAGAAGGGAGAGTAATTACAGTGACACAACCAAAGCAGGTGTATGGAAAGCTATTTGCACAAACAGGGGGGGAAAGTTACAAATAAGGATGCAACACACCCTTGCTTCCCCACCCCCCTTCATTTAAACTTGCACCAGCATCATTAACACTCCAGGAATGCCATCGTATGCATGACACTAATTATACACTGGGAATATCAAGCTGGGATAATGATACTTGGCCCACACTGTGTGAGGCATGGTTATCATGAACAAGAGAAGGAGACTGCTGCAGAAACCTGCTTAGGTACTACGCTTTTCTTTTCACGTCATATCGCTCCAGGTGGTGCTGTCTACAAGACCAAAAAGGAAATGAAATTAATCTTGATGAGCACTGTTGTATTTAATGAGAAATGTGTTTGCAGACTTTTTTTCCCACTCTAAATTCCTTTGCTTTTTAACAATGCTGAGGTTTGACTGTGGCTCCTCAAGCTAAATGTGCAGGTTATAAATTTTCCTGCTCTGACATTTACTGACTGAAAAGAAAGCAGAGCAAGAACATAAACTGGGGAAAGAGAAAAATAAAAGGCTTGTGGGAGGGAAAAGAAAACAAGAGGGGGTCTTTGTGCTGTAGTTTACCTTGGGTAATCATTAAAGTGGGTGGTCGGGTGTCGGGTGAGGAGAGTGGGTCAAACTGGACGAGGAACAGAGAAGGACTTGTGTAAAATTATCTTTTGGTTGCTTTTATCTCACAAGAGCCATGGCAACAAACCGAAACATGGAGCAAAACATTCAAACAGAGCCTCCTGTGTTCTCGCAGACCTCATGTCATTCAGGATGGTGTGAAAGTCCCAGTTAGGCCACATGTAAAGAGAAATGTTGGCTCAGAAATCTTAAATGATCCTGGATGTTCCAATCCAGGTGTATTTGTCTTTGATACTGACTTGAATCATTTAGGAATCCATCTGATAATCAGTTACCAACTTAATACTTAATATCTAAATATGCTTCATAAAGCATTTCTAAAATGGAGTCAAATTAAGTATTATGAGTATTCCAAGCTCTGCCTTAGTACCATGATGGTAAAGCATATATGTTTATCAATTTATTATTAGCCTTCAGATATTATTAAAAATGTGTTATACCTGGACAGTGCAGAAACGTCTTTGATGCCACTTTACAAAGAACGCAAAATTCCAAAATGTACATTTTTTTTTGCTAGAGCTAGACCATGCAGATATTTTACGGCAGTTCCTTTACACTGATATAATCTGCAGCCTAAAACAGCATAACTCAACACAAAAACATGGATGTTTACCAAAAAAAAAAAACTGTGATAAATTGCGATTTGTGATCATAGTTTTGTGCCTCGCAGCCATGGGTAGAATATAAAAAAGGTCAGTAAAAGATTGTGGATTGGTGGTTATCAGGGTTATGCACCCCTTAGAAAAGTTACATTTTTGATAATTTAATCAAAATCAATAATGCATCAAAGTAGGTGTTAGTAAGCCATATCCTGGTCAAGGGTAGTAATCTTTCCTCATTATGCATATATAAGTGTATGCTCACTGTTGTTTCAATAGTTAAAAAAATTATTTTCTAAAACCAATTAGCATTTATGCAATAAAAAATAAATAGCTAGTTAGACAGAAACAGTCCTTGTTCTGTCATGATAAACCTCTTTAGTTGCTTTGTAATAATAGTTGGATCGTTGTAACAATTGCAAAAACAAATCCATTGCATCATTATTTTTCAGGTACTGAAAGCGATACAGTTTGGGAACCACTGGATTAGCTAACATTGTTTGGAGAGAAATGACGCTTGAAACCACCAGTCTCAAAATAAGTCCTCACTAGATTTCAAAAAGTCAACAAACATTTTCACAAACCCACCATTTACCACCAAACGTCGCAGAGTGATACCCAGATTTAAAAACAACATTCACACACACTCTGGCAACCTTAAAACTTGGACTTCTTGTATCCAGTTTAAATCCCCAAATCATAGCAATCCCGCTGAGCTCTTGCAACAAAATTGAATTTGACAAAAACAACGCATGCGGGACTAAGTGATCCCACATTCTTGCGGCTCCACAGGAAATGTCTGGATTTCTTGTTCTGGCACATGCAAAACATTGACTTACAAGGAAAGAGCAGCAAACACTTTGCTGTGCACTAGCTGTGGTTGTGTGTGTTTCCGTGTTTGCCAGTGATTACAAAATTGATCTCTTGCAGGGAAAAATTCAGAAGTGGACGTCGAATGATTTGTGTCTAGTCCAAAACAATTACTCTCTATTTAGCTGCTTCAGTTATCTAAAACAATGCTTGTAATTAACCAAACAGTTATTCTTGCTTTAAACACTTACCAATAGACAATGCAACTGATTTAGACACAAATAAGTCTGTAATTTGATTGGCCTAATAATACGAAAAAGATCCCAGTTAAGTTATTGCTCTGACTGTCTGACGAGTTCTTTATCACGGTAAATGTTTCACTTTATCTTAACTACAGTAGGACATTGTCTTTGAGGTTGGTTGACGTGTGGAAACTGTAAACTTTATTATCTTGGAAACAGACCACAACACTTCTTATCCTACACACTGTTAGGATTGACCCTTTGACATCCACTCTGGTTTTCCTTTTTCAGACACGGCCTTCTCCCCCCTCCCTGTCTGGAAGCTCCTGAACTCACATGGTTGGAATTGGTGAACACACAGATGTCCTCAACACTGTTTTATGACGCCTTCTTTCACCCAGCTTAGGTCCTTTAATCCACGTTTAGCTGTTCTTTTCTCTGACAGACGTTGGTTGCTTCTACCCTCTGCTGAATCACAAATATGCTATGTTTCTGCTCAACCTGTTGCAGCAGGTGCTGCAGACAGTACACAAAGCAAAGGAATAAGTCAATTGTTATAAGAAGGAAAGGCAATATAATTAGTGTAGAGAAAGTATAAAAAAGCAGCTAATAAGATGCTGCGGCTGAAAAATAGTCTAGATAAGGTTGAGTTGGAAATGTGGATTCCTGCTTTACCTTTGCCCAGCTTCTATTCATGTATTTTGTTTTGTGGTTCGTGGTTTCCTCTGGAGAGTTGAGGACTCTTATCCGGCTTTAGGGTTCAGCTGAGAGGCCATATGGACGTTTAGTGAAAAGATTAGGAGCACAAGATGCACAACCACCTGCAGGGATAAAACTTTCAACTTTCTTTCCATCTGGACAGTTGCAATGTCACTGCTCATCTCCTCAGTAAATCCTGGTAGAGCACGTGTGGATCTTTATGCTTTATATGATGACTGTTTGAGAAAAACTTTTTCTAGATGGTGGTGTTTTACGATGGATTATTTATTTTCTTATTCATCCTGTAAATAGTGTCTTGAAAAAGTCTTCACAAATATCTGAACTTTTTCACATTTTGTCTAATTATAGCTACAAACGTCAGCTTAGGTGATAGGTGATACAAATTGACATTGTATTCGGAGCTACCAGCTGCCTTCAGAGCCAAATTAGCAGTGGTAACACATGTGAGCATTATTTAATGTCATATAAATATAGCAGCTCTATAATACGAGTATTAGGGCCAGGCTAGAGATTTTTTTTTTCTTCTATTTCGAGAATAAAGTTGAAACATTATGAGAAAAAAGTAATAAAATTACTAGAATAAAGTCGTAAAATTGCGTGAATAAAGTCATAAAATTACAAAATAAAGTCGTTACATTACGAGAATAAAGTCGTAATATTACAAGAATAAAGTCGTAAAATTACGAGAATAAAGTCGTAAAATTAAAAGAATAAAGTCGCAACGAGAATAGTCATAAAATTACGAGAATAAAGTTGTAACATTACGAGATTAAAGTCGTAACATTACGTGAATAAAGTTGTAAAATTATGAGAATAAAGTCATAAAATTAAGAGAAAAAAGTCATAAAATTACGAGAAACAAGTTGAATTTCATGACAACCCCTACATGAAGCACTTTGTTCCCTAAAATGAGGACTGTCGAGCATTATGTGAAGTTACTTTGGCTATGGTTTGGAGGAAATCTTTTAGCACACCAGCATCAAATTGGACAGTAGTTGAAAGTGGACTCAGGTTGGTCAGCCATCTTATGCTGGTCGGAGCTCAAAGCTTTTTCTCTGAAGCAGATTGTGGTATTATCACTATATTCTCGTAATGTTACAACTTTATTCTCGTAAGATTGCAACTTTATTCTCGTAATGTTATGACTTTATTCTCGTAATGTTATGAATTTATTCTCGTAATGTTACGACTTTATTCTCGTAATGTTACGACTTTATTCTCATAATGTTACGACTTTATTCTCGTAATTTCACAACTTTATTCTCGTAATTTTATGAATTTATTCTCGTAATGTTACGACTTTATTCTCGTAATGTTACGACTTTATTCTCATAATGTTACGACTTTATTCTTGTAATTTCACAACTTTATTCTCGTGATTTTATGAATTTATTCCTGAATGTTACGACTTTGTTCTCGTAATGTTACGACTTTAATCTTGTAATGTTACGACTTTATTCTCGTAATGTTACGACTTTAATCTTGAATGTTACGACTTTATTCTCGTAATGTTACGACTTTATTGTCGAAATAGAAGAAAAAAATCTCTAGCCTGGCCCTAATAGTCTGTCGTACTATAAAGACCTTAGAGGTCTGTTAGGAAAAAAAAGGATGGAGACAAACAAAGATAGCAGCCAAACTGTGGAGAAGCAGGGTTTGTTATAAAGCATCTCATGCAACATGCTTTAATCCAGCATGTTCACAATTATACACAGACTGATGTTCTAAAGCTTTTGTTTCTGTTAATTATGAGGATTTCCCTTAAACTTTTAAGATAAAAATATTACTTTGGACCAACAAGACAGCTTTCTTATTAATAAAAAGGATGCTAGGTAACTTTTGATGGGTTGTTGTCAATTAGCCTCATATAAATGCACATTCTGCTTTGTTAATAACTGTGCACACCACGTTCTAAGATTTATTTTTGCCAAAAAGCACTTTACAGTTCTGTACCACTTTCTGGGGACATATTGTTATTCGTTTAAATAATAAATAAGCTGACCTATCTTTTAGTGGAGATTTGATGAATTTACTTGTTTTAAACATGATTATGATCACATCTTTCTGCTGATTCTCCCCTGTCTTCTAATCCATTTCATAATGAGCAGGTCAGTAAATCCCATATCACATGTGTGCATGTCATTGTGTTATGCTTATCTATTTATTGTGTATCTGAATAGTAAACTAAATAATATCTGGCTGATTCACATTTCTTTTTTCCTTCCCTTTAATTTTCCTGACATTCTTTTACTCCTTCAATTTTATCTAATCATTGACTTCAGCTGTCATCATTCTGTATCCGCTCTCCCTGTTGAGCTCTGTATCGCCTTTCTGGGTACCCCAACACTCCCCTCGTCTGCCACCCTCTGCTCTAGATAATAGGCTGAGCTGTGTTATGACGCACATGGCTCTGTCTCCTGAGGGGCTTTTGCGCACACAAGCATTCATAAAGGCTCAGTGAGTGGCCTGGTGTTCAGATACAAGCACCAGCCAGGTATTTACATCTCCAGATAACCGACACCGCAGGATTACTGTATCAGCTGCTCTGCTGTTTGCACAATAGATGGCATTCTTTAGGAGTAAAGACTTTTGTTGAAGTTATCAATAGCAACCATAAAAAAACAAGTATTGTTTGGCTGTCAGGTTTTAGGGGGTAAAATGGAGATGAAGATCAGCTTACTTTTATTGTAAGTCTCAGATTGTTCTGAAATCTCCAAATGCAAAAAAAAAAAAAAAAAAAGGCGAATAAAGAGAACATAATCTCTTGTGTTACACCATAGTTTCAGGTCATGGGAGGTTCACATCTGATTCAAATTTCCGAAATACATCCAGACTAACCCTCGTTCAGTCATATCTCCTAAAAGCAATAATAAATGTGTCACCATCTACAGAAACTGGTTTCATATAATTGCCCACTTATTCATTTTGTATATTCCCCTTCTACTCACTTGCCTTTAATAGACACACCTTGTTAGTGAGCACAATGTCATGCTGGACAAACCAGTTTAAAGTAATTTACATTGTGACACATATTACATTTGGGAGGTATCTTCTATGACTGCATATCTTGTTCATGTCAATATGTTTAGCTGTAAACTAAACATATTGGCATATTGTTGGCTCCCTCAGTGATTGAATAGTTTAATTTACACTGCAAACAAATATAAATCCAGTCATTGAAAAGGCTTACATTCTAAAAGTTAACATTTTAAGTAAAAAAGTGGAGCTTTGTAATACTTTTCCATGTTTTAGCAACATTGAATAACTTATAGGTGTGAAGCTTAGGTTAATACACTCTCACTATTCCACTGAATTGTGTTATACTTTATGAGCTACACAAACGGCTGGCAATAATAATAATAATAATATAACTTTATTGATCTCACACTGGAAAAAATCCCCTCTGAATTTAACCCATCGCCCGGGGAGCAGAGTGGGGTCAAGGGTTTTGCTCAGGGACCCATAGTGGGAGTGGGGCTTGAACTCAGAACTTCTGAATTCCAAACTCTATGCCCTAACCACTACGCCACCCCCTTGCCAAAAAATTCACCATTGCCCCTAGCGAAAGGACTGCAGGGCAATTGGTTAAATCACTCTGTAAAACTTATCCAAGACTTTGCATGAGTCTTTCTGGTCAAAAATGTAATATTTTTCCATGTATCGACACCTTGCATTGCCTTCCAGATGTAAATTATAACAAAGACTCTTTTAGCTCCCAAACAGATTTTGCCCAATAAAATCAGCAAAACTCTGTACTGTCACTAGCCATCTGTACATTACTAAGCATGCTAATTATATTTTACTTTTCCATTTAATAACTGAGTAAGTAATTATAACTGAGCTGATAAGGTAGATGTGGTGTACATACTGTGGTTGCAAAAATCCATGGTGAGCTGTGAGGGTCTTGTAGGTATGCAGAGATGTCAAAAAATATTTGCATAACAAATTATTATGATTATACTGACAACATTTATTTATGAATATCCAAAAGAAATATTCATTATATTTTTTAATTAGGGGTGCAGTTGGTAGCAGTGTATTTTAATTGTTAGTTGCTTTATGTGTGTGTGTGTTAGTCCTACTAGTTGGGTATCTGTGTTGGGTGCTTATCTCTAACCTTTTCTTCTCAGGGTGCGTGCGGCAGGATGAGCTCCCAACTGATTCACCTGAGAAAGAGAAGTGAGTCACTGAGTCCAGGTTGGATTCCCACTGGAATCCAAACGATTCAACTACCTCTCTCGGACCTATCACCGCATGAGAAAACTATAAGAGCCGAACAACCTTTCTTTACTCCAATGATTCTTCCTGAAGCCAAATTACCCACTGAGTCTCTTTCCCTAGAACGATCCAGTCAGAGCCTCACTGGTGCGCCCGTTTCTAGGATTATCAAACTCTGTGATTCCTCTGAAAATAAAACTCTGAAAAGACTTACCTTTGTTTGATTGTGCCTGTTCTAGAGTCGATCCCAGGATCATGTCATACTTATGTTTTTGTCACCCTTGTATTGCGACTCATCCAGGTTTTAGGTCCTTGAAACATTTCCCATTCCCAAACCTTGTATTCTATGGTTTTCATGCTCATTGTAAAGTACACATGCTCTCACAGGGCCTTTACTGATAATTGAACTGGATGTTTGTGAGACCTTTTTCAAAATTAGAGAAACTTTGGTTGGTCTATTTGGGTGTTAAATTGTTGTGATCACTGCTATAGAAACATAATTTGAGTGTTTGGCTTTGCTGTTAGCTTACCTCCAACCTGCTGCTAAATAGGTTGGTCAATAAAAATGTTGTCTAATTCCTTGGTTCAAAATCTTGCGGCTACCACTGTATCCTGTCTTTTGTTTGTACCTGTGTCAACTATGCATGTTGGAGGGGAGGGTATGGGCCATGGGACTGTTAGGTTTCAGACAGTTGTTAAAGATAGGTTCTGTTCAGCACCCTGAGGCTTTATCTTTCCGGCTCTTTTCCATGAAAAGAGATCATTCGGGACAAACCCTTTAAATAACACTTCATAACTTATATGTATTAAATAACCAGGAGACATGACAACAGATTTTGATAGAAATTGCAATCTTACTTAGATCAGAGAAATTGCTTATTGTTTCAGAATGGCAGCTGCTAACCTCCGGGCTCACCTCTCAGGAAGTGGCCCCGATTAATGGTTAAAAAAGGCATTTTATACATCTCCAGTCTGCCACATCATCATATTTAACATCGTACACATTAGCAGATAAGTAGACATCCATGGCTCCAGCCTTATCACAATAGGACACCGCTCTCATTCCATTTCCAAATCTTTGCCTCGTACAGAATGAAGATTATAACCATATATCCTGACAGAGGAAATGTCCCAATTAGATTAAAACGTCAGTTTTGACGCGCAACAGACAGCACATACCAGGGTGTGATAAACTCACACATCTTCAATGTTAATTATCCTAACAAAGTGATAATTACTCATTGAAAACTTGGCAGGCTAAACCTCCAGTGTAAATTTTGTTAAATTATTGGTCAAATATGAATTGTCAAACTTTAGAAATATATTCCTCAAACTGCATTAAATATGCGCTAAAATGTGACTAATTTCTTGAGTATGTTGCGCACTAATCAGCTGTTGAGGGTGCTCTCAGATGCAATCTCCCCTTTGCTATAGATCAGCAGGGCCTTGACCATTGAGTCTCGGTCTATTGAGGTAAGCAGCGAGAAAGTAGAGCCCTGATTGGATAAAGCGCCAAAATACATAATTTTTCTGTAAGGCTAACCCTCATAGCTGGTCTATGGAACAGACAAACTGTGTGTGGCCAGATATCAAGGAGGTTTTCCTCATGATTAGAGATGTGAAAATGATCATTCAGTCATTGCTGCACAACATCTATTTTCACCCGTTGTAGTGATGTGTTTTATGTGTTTAAACATTTGTTAATGCAATACGTGATGTTTGAATTTAATTAAAACCTCCCCTGTTTCAGAGAACAGCAGCTGATGTTGGGTCAGTAGAGGAAGTCTGATTGTGCAAGTAACAACTTCCTACTGATCTGATTTGACGGCACTCTAAGATAATCGAATACGCCAGTGCTTATGTTGGAATGCTAATAGTTGCATTCACATTTAATGTGATTTCCAGACCTGATGACAAAGTCTGACACTGTCTAAGGACTAAGGTCTCAACCAGGAAATTTCATTTTCATATAAGATATAGAATTTGACTAACTACTCTGACAATGGAAAATGAAACCATATTTGCAGTCACATCCAAGCAATAAAGATCACAAAACAACACCTGGTGGGTTATTAAATAAATACTCAGCTTTTTTGCAAGAGCTCCTGAGCTATGTCAGGCAGGCTAACTCTAATAGCAAGGCAGTTGTTTGGTAAGACATATTTATAGCTCCTCGTGGATAGTGATGTAAATCTTTATGTATTGAAGGTTATATCATCAGCCTATAAGCTTTCAAGTAGATGGACAGTATAATCAGATTTCTCAGTATTATGTAGACATTTAGGAAAATGATGTGATTTAAGCCAAAACCACAAAAATCTTGCCATTCATTGCTGTTCAAGTTGGAAATAAAGCATTCTATGCTAGTTTGACTACTAACACTTTACATCATAAACATGACGCATGGAGCGCTTGAATGGGATAACATTTTGAATAGAGCTACAACTTATGTGCCAAGAGTAACAGTGAGGCTATTATGACTACTCGGGTGTTGACTACTAATGTAAACCCACTAATAGCTCTTCATTTTTCATGCAAAAATCCTTCATAGCACCAAATTCATCATTGCCCATAATATCTAATTCCCTGTAATCTGTATATTGAACAAAATTTTATCAAAAACTGTAAAGTTTTGATTTTATAACACAATCGCCTAAGGCAGCTTTTAATGCATTTGTCTTCCTGAATGATGAAGAAGCAGACATTTACCACTGGAAAACTCTGTGTGAATGAGATTTTTGTCGCCACTATAGACAGAGTTATTCTAAATGTGTTTGGTTGAATCATGGCGATATATTTATGACCACTTAAGTCAATTCAGGAAATGGGTCTGCATGACTCCAACAACTTGCCTGACATCTGCAGAAAGCCTTGGTCTGATTATGTTTACGTCATAGCGACCCCATGCTGGACATTCTTACACTTAGACAGACAAGCTTTTATACTGTTGCTGCATTCTAGGCACACATTAAAACCCAGAGGTGCAGAGGAATCAGAATGGAGCCACAGTTTATCGACCAACACAAAATTTGCTGTGACATGTCAACCGGATGAGAATCAAGTGGGAGTTGACAGAAATCGCCTATTAAAGGTAACCTGGATGCTGAAAGTGACCTTGGTTTATTCCTGACCCGGTAGAAGCTATGGAGAATAAAATCTTCAAAATTTTTCTGCTGGACTTATAGCTAAACTAATACTTTATTTCAAAGACACCTTCCACCCTGAGGGCATTATTCATGTTAGTATTTAGAATTTAAGACAAAAAAATAATATATTTAAAAATATATATATATATGGATACCCTTTCAGGAATTTTTATGTTTTTTACAAATATTCTTACCTTGCTTATTCAGAAAATTCTGAGATTTTTAAAGAAATAAGAAGTAAAATAAAGAAAGCCTAAGTTACAAGTTGTGTTTTACAGTAAAGCATGTTTCTTTCTTTGGATTTTCCTTAAAAGAATATAGACTGTCAAATGTCACAAAGTTCTTATCTTTCTTCCAGTCTATGGCTGATTTTCGAATAGCCTCTCTTGATGACTCCTCTCCAAAAAACTGCTACGCCAGAGAAGAATCTGTGGAAATTCGCTAAGGGTGCATTCACACACACAAATTATTGAAGTGATATAATTCAAATGGTGGACTTCAGCACAGAGATTATGAGAAGGGGCCAAAAACTGCTGGGCAGTTGCTCCAGTATTGCAATTATCAAGAACAAAAAAGCAAAAAACAGAAAGCCAGCCTCACAGGTTTTATGTTATTCAATCTTTGATAGAGCTGTTCATTTTCTTCCAATTCAAATATCCTGTTCTTACATCACTTACTCATTTCCTGCTTTTTGTATGCTGGGACAGGCAGTAACCATGCTACAAACAAACCGTTCCAGGTAAACCATGCCACCACCAGCAGTAGCAAATGTGCCACGGTTGCAGGGTTCATGGGTTTACATGGGTGTGAGCTGCTCCAGAACCCTGACTCCAGCTAAAAGCCTTTCACAGGTTGGATGTGAAAGAAGCGAAAGATAAAACTTTAAAAGCCATACGGCAGCTGGGTTCAACCAGCTATGAAATGAGGACTCCTTAACACTTGTCTAACTACAATATATGCATTTTTAAAATACACTGCAATATATGTTGGTCTAATTTTGTGTAATTTAAATCTCTCCATTTACTTCGAATGTGTGTTAGGCATATTTTAGCCATATTTTTCTGTTGTGTCCAATCCAGTTCTCAAATAAAAGAGGGAAGCTATCAAAACATCCCAAAAAACCTCTGCCAGATCTGACAACCTCCCAGTCTGGATGATCTCCACGTGAAAAAAGCACCTATTTTGACAAAGTTCGGACAAAACCCAGTGTAAATATGAGAGTGTGGGCTGTGTGAGCAACAATCCAAGATGATTTCCTTGATGAAACCTTCCTGATTTCCAACCACAGTCCAAATGTTTGTCTATTGGGGATCTGGGGCATAATATATTAACGTCCAGGTGGTCCAGAGATATTTGCTTAATTAATTTTTTGATTATAATTAGACTCAACTTTTGTTTTTTGCAGTAATAGTCAGTTTAAGTCAATTTTACTTCTAAAGCTCATTTTGTCATGATCTTGGTACTGATGACTGAATTATTGGTTTAGTTCATCCACCTGCTTAATTCCACCCAGTTTTCATTACCATTCATCTGGTCCAACTGTTTTAGTTCCTATTTAAACTGCTTGGGTTCTCTACCGTACCCAGTGTGTTATTCTGATTGCCTGATCCTGACTAGTTTCTGCTCCTGGACTTTGGAGTTTGCCTGCCCCAGTTCTGATCTGTTTTGCCTGACCTGTCTTCGGACTTCCATTGTATTCTTCCTGCTAACATCTTTGGATCTGTCTTCCGACCCAGCTTGGATTTCCCTTCGGTACCTCTTCGGATCTCTGACCTTATGGCCAGGACTTCTGCTTCCTCATCAACACCGGCTTTGGTTTCTCCTTCCAGATACTTCTGCTCTTCCTCATCTGCTGGCTTCTGGTTGTTGGTTTGCTCTGCGGCACCTTTGGCTTCCACTCCTTCCTCTGGGCTCGGACTGAACTTAAAACCCAGTTAGTGACTCACATACTCGTTATCGTTCTCCATCAGAGTCACGAAGTCACAAACCTGTGTTTCTCACTGTACTAAAGTTTCAGTCATCTAGTCCAAGCTGACCATGAACAGATCCCTGAGCAGTTATTAATTGATTTTTATAAATCACCTCAGTCTGTCTGCTTGAGATCTGGGTCAAACATTCCGAGTCATGACACATTTAAAACAGCTGTTGACCAAAGTGCTATACATATCAAATAATTGAATAACATATTAAAAACAGAATTTTACATTTAGAAAGAAACACCTTAGTAAGAATAAAGACAAACAAAGTAATCAAAAACATTCGGATATAAAAGCCTGAAAGTACAAGTTGTTTTATTGATTGCAATAATAGTGTGTAATACTGGGAAGCTAATTACGTGAAGGGACATTTTGTCTCATAGTGTTGGAGCAGCAACAGCAAAGGCTCTGTGTCCCACTGCGTATATCTTCACTTTTAAAAAAAACAAGAAGCATTGTCTCTACATAT